AAAGGTTGATTGCATGCATATATATATTTAATAACTAGAATTTAATTTAATTAAAACTATAATTTAAAAATTTTTAAATAGTTGTAATATAATTTTTAATAATATATTTTTTATTTTAGATATAATATAATTCATAGGAGAACAAGAATAATTGTAGAAAGAACGTTTGGTATGTGGAAACGTAGATTTCCTTGTTTGTCAAAAGGGCTTACTACAAAATTGTCTACGTCTACAACAATCATTGTGGCATGTGCTGTTCTTCATAATTTATCATTAATTTTTAATGATAAATTAGACGATGATGATGATGATGAAGAATTAGAAAATGCAAATAACGAAGTTTCAGAGATCCAGCCTCACTGGCAGCCTGGAGATGGCTTTCTCGTAAGAAATGCTCTTATCGAACGACTATTTAGATAAAATTTCCTTTAAATACATTTTAAGTATATCCCATTATTATGTATATTATTATTAGTGTATAGGTATATTATATATATAACATATATTTCTTAGACATATTTTTATTTTGTTCCAAATTGTATTTTGTACTTCAAAAATGTACAGCACATAACGTAATAAACATAATATATAATATTGAGCATAAAATATTTTTAACATTTTTTGTTATAAACATTGTTTATTAAAATAAAATCCTATTATAAATATCTTTGGCAATATAAAAACATATCTTTCAACTAACACAAACATCTTTTATCACATACATCTTTGGCAAGACGATATCTTTGAACTAAATATATCTATATATTTAAAAATTTTCTTAAAATATTGCAACCGTATTGAAAACATTGCATATGTGTAAACTTATATTTTATATAACTTATTTAAACTTTTATCTAATAAATAAATATTAGAAAATAAAGAAAACGTTTATTATACGTATCAATTAATATTTTCTTTATCTTCGAATGAACATTCTGTGATCCTAAGTTTTGCTCTACTAATTTGTATTTCTATTGTTTGTATTTCTTTTAAATGTTGTAACTGCATGCAATTCATTTCTTTCAAATGTTCTTCTTCCATTTTAGATATGTTTTCTTCATGAGTTTGTCTAATACGTGCTAATACAGCTTCTTGACTCATTACCTGTTGTATACGCTGTATCTTTAATTTTTCCTCTGTGTCTAGTAATTCTGTTGTTTCTCTGCTCTTTCGTTTTGTGTTGTCAATTTTTCTTTTTAATACTTGATGACTTGATGACTCTTCCGAAAAATCACATATAGTAAATCACATAAAGTCGTAGATTCTTTCTTACTCTTTTTTGCTATAACAAATGTATCTGTAAAAAAATAAAATACTTTTTCTACATAACTTACATACAAATGTTAATGTGCAAATATATAACATAAATACCTTGCAAAGTATTAATTTCTTCATTTGTAGATTTATTATTTTTGTCATTTATATTTATAAAAGATTCATCTTGTATCTTTATAGAACCATTTTCGTCTTGTATACTTATGGAACATTCATTATCAATATCAAATATTTCTAAAATTTTGAGTAGATATGGCATCAAATGTAACATCACGCTTATCTAAAATGTATAGAAAAAATAAAAGTTATTAGAATTGAAAAGATAGAATTATATTTTTAATAATTTTAATGTTAATTCAAAAGTTTCGTACATACCATTAATTTCTGTCTCTGTCATGTTGGATGTAAAGAACACTGGAGCTGTCTTCATGAGATCAGGCGCAAGATTAAGAATATCAGGGTCAATGGTTGCTTCTGCCTCTTCCGGTCCTCCACCAGTTGTCATACGGGCTTGTTCTTCTTTCGTTAACGCTTCTCTTTGGCTTTGTTTTAGATTTGTCCATAACTTTTTCAGCTGTTGTACTGTTCTCTAAAATTAAAATATTTTATATTATTACATGTTGATGCACTATTAGTTGTAGTTTTTACCTCTTCACAAATTAAAGTTGATTGATTGTATTTATTACAAATTTCGCTCCAGGCACATTCTTTGTCTTTCAATGTAGAACTGTCGCTTTTTTTTATTTCAATTATGTGTTTATATTCTTGTAGAATTTGCAGAAATACTTTTCTCTCCATAGTTGTGTAATGTTTACCCCTTTTAAGAGTTTTTTCTTTGCACGACATTCTGTAAATAAAATAATGGTTTAATTACAAAAACTTTAAATAAATAATTTTTATAAATATAATTTTTATAATAATTAAGAATAAAATATATTCCAAGGCTGTTAATAATTCAAAGTCACAATGATTAAATAAAACTCAAACCATGTTCTAAATCCAGAGAAGTTTGATATGGTTATTAAAAGTTAATAGACTTGTATTTTAACTTTTAATTGTTTGCGTTTTATTTAATTGTTTTGATTTTTATATAAATATACTTTTACTTACATTTTGTTAGCT